GTAAATATTTCACAATGAAATGAAAATATAAGGAATCACTGTCTAGTTAGTATTCACCCGTTATGCAAATTATCCCACGTTTCCAACTATCGTGGATGCTCTGGCCTACTATACTAACTAGACAGTGATTCCTTTATTAATTCTACCAGAATGTAAATTTCACCAAGCAAAAAGTCAGGACCTAAGAAGGCATGCACATGTAAATCTCGTGCAGTTGTCCTTGTGTTTAATGAAATTGACATGGGAGACCTCGTGTAATTTAAATCTATATGACGACATTTTTAAAATCTGAATTTACGTTTTATTTCACAATGAAATGGCAATATAAGAAATCAAAGTCAAATTTATATAATAATTATGCATAATTTATGCAAATTATCCCACGTTTCCAACTATCGTTGATGCCTTGGCATACGCAACAAACTAGACAGTGATTCCTTAAATAATGCACAAAATCTCTTTAACAGCAAACAGTATAATTGTGACTGCTATTGATTTAAGCTCCACCCGCTACTAAGTAACTAATACAACTGTAGTACATCTAAAATGAGCTTTACAGTTTATACATACCTTTATTTCGTGTGTAGTTTCGGGTTTCTCTTTCTTCTTTTTGAAGTGCTTGAATACATGTATCCTCTTTGACTTTGATTTAGCCTACAGGTGAACATAAAGTGATTCATAAACAAGTACCAGGCTCAAAATTAAAATCACCCTCAGTTGAAAATAAGTCAAACCAAACATCACAAACTTTTAAAAATTCCCCTGCTTTACTCAGAAGTATAATGGCTACTAGTATACTTTGATTATCAAAAAACGTTATAGTAGAAATTTGTGTTTTGGGTTTTGCTATTTATTTCTCACCTTGGGAATACAATAAGATATAGAGTACGAATGAGCTGTAATATTTTAACCTTCAAATTTCTTTTACATGTATATGGAACCAATAGGAAGTTTAGGATGTAATTTTTGCCAATCTAATTAAAATTAGATGTTAGATCCGCTCGCAATGTAGCGAGTATGCGAGCGGATCTAACATCTAATTTTAACTAGATTGAATTTTTGCAAAGTGAGAAACTTTCTGCTATGAATGTATTAGGGGATGAATTAAAACTTTCCGGTTCAGCTCACTTTAAATAAACATTTCCTCTATATTCCTCTTCCTATACTTCGTTCTTTATCTATTTTTATTCTGTATACTACATGCATATTATAAGTTGATCGACCATCATGGCCATAAAATGATTAAAGGATTTTCTCCTTTTTGGGGGATTTACGAAGAAAAGTTGAGATGTACTATAGTAATTCAAACATCATGAAAAAACATTGTCGCATATCTGCGGTGATTTTCTTTGATCTTTCTGTGGTGATATATCCCATATCACATATGCGATAATACTTTCCACGCCCCTTCATATATCACTGCAGGAGGCAGAAATCAGGTCATGAGAAAAAAACTGATTTTATTTCAAAAGTTCATAACTTCAGAAAAATGAACATGTTTAGCTATTTCTTAGTCTTTAACTAAATTAAAATACATGTATTTTACTCAGTTGAAAGTTCCCAGTCGTTCAAAAGTTTAATCCATTTTGAAAGTTACGGTAAAATCTCCAAACTGTATATCGTTAAACTCCTTGATATTTGTTTCTGTGATTTCATATTTGTCGAGTGTCTGGCTCAAAGATAAATCGTCAAAATCTTCAAAATCAGTAAAAAAGTCAAAGTCAAATTTACTAAGAACGTCCAACATGTTGAAGAGCTATAGCTTGAAATGAATCTTAAGTTCATGGCACACTGAATAATTTTTTTTATTGAATTTTGACACTCTCAATGAAATTTACGTCATCAGACATGCAACAAGTTGCTTACATCACAGATGCCTCGTACTATTGGTTATATCGTTTTCATGGAGCGTGGAAATCTCGGGCCCTCCGCGCCCTCGATTTCCACGCCCCATGAAAACGATATAATCAATACTACTCGGCTTCTATGATGTAACCAATACTTGTGTTATTTGCATAGTGAGGCACAAACAGGCTGCCATACGTTGCAGCCTGCAGCTCTCCCTATGCTTTAAACATGCCGTGACTTCGCCCTGTTCCGTTTTGCTTTACAATGTAACGAACATGATGAAAGAAGAGTTAAACAATGAGCTTACCATCTCTCTTTATCCAGTCCTAATATTGGTCCACTTTCTTGTACAACTACGCAGACAGGATTGATTGTTGTCGCAATGCAGACTGAACTCAAAGATGGGTTTTCCTAAAAATCTTAAAATAGAACATAGAATGTTATTTAGAATACTACTCACACAGTGTATGCGGGCTACTGAAAGTTTCGGAAATATCGGAAATAACATCACACCAAAAGTGAAACCAACATATTCCAAGCGTATCTTTCATAAATTATCTGTGCTTTTTCAATTTGATAAGAAATAATTCATAAGAATTCTTAGCTAGGCCTATAGAATTTATTATTTTATAACGTTTCCTGTATCACAAGTTTTACTTTACAAACATGTGCACTTTCTGCCTTCTTGGAAAGGATCAGCATTTATTAAGCTATAGAACATGTAGAACTGCAATCAAAATTTGCAGCTTCATGTCAATGAAGCATACTTTTCGCTCTTACAATTTTAGTGAAATACTTCTTTCTCATGTTTGAATTCATCACTATAAGCTTACACTACGATTCCGTTTTATGTGCAAAATAAATAAAAGCTATTTCCAGTGACATCCTAAATGGTTACAACTCTATCATTTTATATAATGTGCAATATATACTTATCACTTCTATTAATAAATTGGACATAGGGAAATATATCATGATTTGTTATAACTATATCAATAGAAATCCAGTTTTTCAACAAGCACTGAATTTCCACACAAGTATTCATATATTAAATCTTTGCCCAACCTTTTCAAAGTTTCAAATTTTAGGGGAACTTTATCTTCAACATGTACAGAATGATATGCGTCAACATTGTACCCGGTGCATCAGCATAATGCAACAAGTTCCATGATGGCATCCTAATCTATCAATATAATCAGGAATTATGTGGAATATCTGTTTATATATTAATAAATAACAATTCTTGTGACAACGAGATTACATTATTATTTTACAGAAAAGAGAAAATCGAATATCTCGGTTGCTATTTAAAATCAAAGCATCTTCGTTAATTATCCGCTACTCTTCTAAAAAAAAATTAAGGGGAAAAGCGGATCAGAAACCCTTGACCAGCGATGATAAAATCAAAGCTGAAGGATATTTTTTTGGTCATTCGTGTATAATAATTTTCATGCAAAGTTAGTGAAAAGTTGTACATTTCATTTCAGATAAGAATTAATTACTTTCTTTATTAATTTATGATTTATTTAGTGAAAAATGATTGGAAGTTTTGTCGATATATATCTGCAAATTAGAAGTGCAAATCACACGCAAAGTAAGACAGGGTCATCTTTTAGAAAAAATAGGGGGGGAGGGATCTCCCCTTCGGAATTTGTCAAGTTATTTAAAGTAAACGACTTTGGTAAGCATGGAACCTACATGTACCACAACCACCACGAAACAGGTTTTTCAAAATCTTATTTGGGAGATAGATTTTACGTTTTTTTTCGCTTGTCAAGAAATTTCTTGGTTGGCGGAAATGTTTTCACTAGAGTGCAACCCTCCTCCCCCAGAAAAAATCCTGGATCCACACCTGAGCCTAGCTACCTGTTTCCGGAAATCTAAAATTATTGTTTTTAAGTATTTATTTTCTAACGCTTCACTGTATCTGCTTTGTTGCATCTAATCTTGAAAAGTACACCCATATGTTTATTTTTTTAAATCTTTTTACACAACTATGAACAGAATAATCAGGTTACACTCCTCTTACCAGCGCTTGGGCTACCCCCTGTCTATAACTAAATCAGACGAATTTTTACGCTACTTTGATCCGCGTGCCAGATATATAAATACGTGTATACAGTATATGAATTCACAATCCATGTAAAACTGCTGAAAATTTGGATAGAAAAATTTATATGCTTCATCGGTTTAACCTATTTTATAAAAATGTGTAAATCATGTATAAAATTTACCGAAAATCTATCGGAAGCATGATATGGTATATAATATCGTCACTACTAGTAGGTCAATGACACTTGGCGCAGCATATGAGTAAAGAATACACTTGGTAAAAACGAAACACCAGTGCACGAACACTGTAATTAGAAAACTGAAATAAACAAAATGAAAAAAAAAATACTTAATGTGTTAAAAATTGTAAGATGAATCACTCTATAATTGTACATGTTATTAATATACTGTCAAAAAATTATTACCGAATCAAGTGCCTGTGCTTTGGATGCTAAATGTACCATACGTTTTCCATGTGTTTGACAAATCTAATTAAAATTAGATTTTTGATCCGCCCCAACTAGATCGCCACACAAAGATCTAATCGCTTTGTGTGGCGATCTAACTTGAGCGGATCAAAGATCTCATTTTTTTTTATTAGATTGGTGATTGACTGAAGTTAAAGTTGATCAGGCTTAAATTACTAGTACTTCAAAGTAACGGTAAGCATCACCGTAAGCAATTCTTTATACTACATAATGATGAAGCTACGAATGTTAACTCCCATGCAGTCTTACGTCAGATACTAAATGTGTTAAAGAACAATATCCAGACTCTGACCATGGTAAAAAGTTTTTGGAGCAAATCCATTCCAGAGCAACTATATAAGTATGACCCAGACCTAACTTGAATGCATTTTTACGTAATGTATCCAGAAATGCACACACCAGAATATTCATGATTTATTATATATGCATGAACAGGCCAGGAAGAAGCAATTTCATTGAGAAAGGGGCACAATCATTTACTTTCTGTGAGGGGAATATTACGACGGCGTATTCGTGCCATATTGACAATGTAGAAAAAAAATTAAAAATCGTTTGTACAATTTTTTAAAATCGTTTGAACGATTTATAAAACGGTTTGTACGATTTTTAAATCGTTTGAACATAGATCTTAGGTCTATGGTTTGAACGATTTCGAAAATCGTTTGTACGATTTGTTAACGTTTGTACGATTTGTTAAATCGTTTATACGATTTGTGAAATCGTTCGCACGATTTAGAAAATCGTTTGTTCGATTTAAAAATTCGTTTGTACAATTTTTATTTTTTGTTATTACATGTAGAAGAAGCGTAGTAGAATACCTTGCACAAGTAGGACAACGTATCCACGCATAGTTTTAATGAATGACACGATGAATGGCAGAGCGATATTTCAAGATGGGTTTCACTTTTTCGGAAATTGCACAGATCCTTTCGCAAACTCACCGAGTCTTTGTTCGTGAACGAACGTTGAAAAGGACAACAGCTAAATTGGGAATGTTCAAACGTAAATAAAAATCCGACCTACGGGATGTAGCTCTTTTCATTGAGGAAACACTTGAGTCATGTGGTCAATTGCATGGATACAGGTGGTTGTACTGGAAAGCTATCATGGCAGGATTTACCGTTTTAGGATTTACAAACGATTTAACAATTCCGCATACAAACGATTTAACAAATCGTACAAACAATTTTCTAAATCGTTCAAACGATTTAAAAAATCGTACAAACGATTTTTAAAAAAAATTCTCTACATTGTCAATATGGCACGAATACGCCGTCGTAGTATATGCTACAAAACAAACCAAAAAAAAAAAAAAAAACTAGAGGTACTGTGAGCAATGAGCTCACTAAATGATACCCCCGCCTCCCATATGAATATAATGGCAGTATCCATGTTTTGCTCTGGAAAATACAAAATATGTGTTGGATCAAAAAGTAAAATAGGAGGTGGACAATGGCAATATGTAATAAACATTCTGTGAAAGTTTCATTAAATTTCCTTCGGTGGTATGAGAGGAGTTGCGGATAAGAGATGGGTACCCCAAAGCGTAACAGACGGACGGACGGACGGAATTAACGATTACTATATACCCTCCCGCTTTTCAAGCGGGGGGTATAATAAAAACAATGTCAAAAAAGTAAACTAAAGGTACTGAGCACTGAGCTCACGTAATGATACCACCGCCTCTCATATGTTTATAATGAGAAAGTCTATGTTTTGCTGTGGGAGACCTGAAATAAGTGTGAGGTCAAAAAATAACAGATGCACAATAGCATTATGTTAATATAAAGAATCTTTGAAAATATCATCAAATTATATAAAGTGGTGTAGAAGGATTCGTGGATAAGAGATGGATATCCTTCAATATTATAGAAAAATAGCATTGTCCATATTTTGGCATGGGAAACCTGAAATATTAATCCGATCAAAAAGTAAAAAAAAGAGGTTCAAAATGGCAATATATTACAAAGATTCTTAGAAAGTTTCATTATACCCCCCGCTTGAAAAGCGGGAGGGTATATAGTAATCGGTATTTCCGTCCGTCTGTACGTCTGTCCGTCCGTCCGTCCGTCTGTCCGTCCGTCCTTCCGTCTGTCCGTCCGTCCGTCTGTTACGCTTTGGGGTACCCATCTCTTATCCGCAACTCCTCTCATACCACTGAAGGAAATTTAATGAAACTTTCACAGAATCTTTATTACATATTGCCATTGTGCACCTCCTATTTTACTTTTTGATCTGACATATATTTTGGATTTTCCAGAGCAAAACATGGATACTGCCAATATATTCATATGGGAGGCGGGGGGTATCATTTAGTGAGCTCATTGCTCACAGTACCTCTAGTTAAATTTCAATCAGTGTTAGGAGATACAGGGTACCCCAAAGCGTACATGTAACAGACGGACGTATACAGGCGGAAGGACGGACATCCCGATCAATATAAAGTATATACCCTCCAACTGTTCAAGCTGGGGTTTAAAAATAACTCATATGAAATATTTTCCCCTGCACAATATTATCACCATTGTCCTAACTTGCGAAATCTTGTAATTTAACATCATATAATATTGACAATCTCATAATTATAATTTTAAGGAAGATCCCTACGTATTGATATTGTGGTCAAAGGCAAGGTCGTAATTTAAAATTTCATTCTGGATATAAAACTTTCCTGTCTGGCCCACCTGGGCGATATCTCAAGTAGCTTTTGGGCTGTTGAAATGAAATTTTATACCATAACTCCCTAACCCCCCCCCCCCCCTTGCCCGGTTGAGCCCTCTAGTTTCGCTAGATTCGTGCACGCTCTTTTTTTTCTTTAAGCGGGGACACAAATCTGAATTAGCTTGTTCCTTTTCTGTTCAGCGTTGTTTTTAAATACCTGGGATAATTCAGTTCTAAATGTTTTAATGCTTTACGGTTACAAGCTAGATAATTAGAACAAGATTGATGTGTTTATTGTTGACGATCAATCGCTAAATTACTAATTAAATACGTATCGTATATGATTTAGAATGTGTGTTTTACCATTCAGATTATAATCTATCAAGTGGTTCGAGTTAAACAGGGAAGTATGCATCGCGGATTTTTAATAAATGTTGCGATAAATCAGAAAATATAAGAACTGTATATCTATGTATAAATGTGTCTTCTCAAAAAATGAAAACCGGTTCACATGTTATTTACACTTATTTGAATAAAAAAAATATAACAGCACGATAAGTGTAGCTAGGTGTATGTTAACAATAAAGGTGACTATATATATAGAGTTAAATATTTGACAGGATTTTTAATTATGTCAAATTAATAAGATCATGTAAAATGTATTTCTATTCTTTAAAAAATTTGTATACCAAAACATCTTGTAGTGTTAAAAGTATCTCGCTCCCTTTTGATCCGCTCTTTTCTTTTCAAGTGGAAAGGTAAACAATATATACTAGTAGTCTGTATATACATACCAGAGAACGGTGCCCTTATCCAACTTCAATGTCAGTCAAAATGGACTTATTTAAGAATTCAAAAATCCTGGATTTGTAGCCATACGCTGAATAAATAGCCTTAAACACGTGTATAGTCAATTTATACTCCACATGTTTTCCCTTTTGTTCTAAAAATACACATTTACAGAAAATTCGGTATAAGTATATTCCTCTATGTTGATACATGCATGTGAAATGACGTTTCCACGTCAATCACTTTTTTCCACGGTTTTGTCATCTGTGAAAAACAATGTGTAATAGCAAACACCTGTACATACTATACATTAAAGATTCTAAAATCGACAGTTCATAATTGGATTCTTCCTTTCGGGAAAATCCGATTACAACCTGATCGAGAATAGTTATAATTGCTTATGAATTCTAACCGAGAGAAGTTTAAACTTTAATTTAAATACATATTAATGGCAATTCAATGCATATTGCTATCGAAAAAAATATTATTACTGCAATGAATATGATTAAAATTTAAAAAATAAAAACAAACATCTGTTGTAACTGTAAGGTTTGAAAAGGCCCTCGATGCGGGGGTGCGTTGGGTGCGATTGCACCTCCTTTTTACAAGATCATTAAAAAAATATTCATTTATCATCTGTTTTAAATCTTAGGCGTCGGAACGGGGGGGGGGGGGTTACTTTTTTGGCAAAGATAGACATAATGTAAGGATTGAACATTGGGGTGTAGGTTAACCCCCCCCCTCCACTTTTAAAAGGCACGTTGCAGCTAAGGTCAAAAAGGGAAGTGTAGGGGAAAAAAACTTGTTATTGAAAGAAGTTTGATCCTCCCCCCCCCCTCCCCACCACCACCACCACCACCACCACCACCACCACCACGAAATAGGATTTTCGTCTTTGGACACAATTTTTCCTTTTTTTTTTTAATTTTTGCTTGTCAATTTTTTTTTTTTGGTAGGTTTGAATTTTTTTCTTTTCACTTATCCCCCCCCCCAACGTACACACTTTCAATTTGCTTCCGACGCCAATGTAAATAATGTTGCAAAAATTTGATATGTGAAAAGGTGATAAAAATGCACTAGTTCTCACACAAATGGTCACTATTACAATATATAAAGACATTCAACCTTAGAAAAAAAGGAAAACAGATCTGTAGTTTCCTGCATGAGAGATCTCTCTATTTGAAAAACGAAAGAGATATCTCTTTATGGATAAGTGAAATTTCTCTCTTCAGCATTCTTAGAAAGATATAAAAATATTCAGAGATATGTCTTTCAAAGTACAGGAGATATCTCTCTAAATTCAAGAATAGTCTCCTTAAGTGCATGGATTATACATGTAAGCCATTAAGAAATATTTCCTATTTTGAAGAGATGTCTTTTTGGATACCGGGTAAGTTTAAAGAGATATCTTATTTTCGTATACATGTATAATAAATAAAAGGATGCTTGCCAATCGAGGCTATAGTATATAAAACACTTACACGAGATTGTCAAGGATTGTCGATACCAAAGCAATACTTTCTTTTCTATATGGTATGGAAAAATATGCAAGACTATAAACGAGAGAAGCATTGTTGCATCTTCAATTTTGGGAAAATAAAGATAATAGGAAAAACATGAATGACCCAACTTAAACTTTACACTTTTATTATATATTTTTTAAAAGCACTAGATAGGTAAATAAGAGTTTTTATTCAGTTTTTAAGGAGCTAAAAATATTTTTTCCCTTGAGAAATGAATGTTACAATCATGTTACATGTCACTCTACATGTAAAAACGGCAAATAATCAAGTGTCTTTAGTAAAAGATTATGCTCCGTTCGCGTGCACTAATAATCGTCTCATATTAATATGTACTCAAAGAATGTTAATTGTGTTGTACATTGTAGGCGCTCGCCTGAAGAAATAACATTAATTTGATCACAGTATTTTAATCATTTTTGTTAAGAAATTAAGAATTAATTAACAAATTAATCAACGATAATTAAAGCGCTCCACGATACATAGGATTAAATCCCCTTGTTCAGTAAAATTCTATATAGGAATAAAAATGCATTACTTCTAGAACATTGGGATTTTATTTAAAAAGAACTGGCATTCAGTCCTCACTTGATATTTTCAACTTGTCCGCTTACCTTCAATATTCGAAAGTCGACTGTTGAAAGTGGACCGTAGCATGTCATTGGAAATGTTTTCATTAAATAAAAAAAATATAAATAAATGTACCTAGGAGTAGGAGAGGTAGCATGAAATCTATTTTTTCCTCTAAACGAAAGACTGTTTTAGATTTCAAAATTAAGATTGACTCAATAAAAATTATATTTCTTTTTTTTGTTACCGGGTATTATATTATTGAAAATTTGTATCTAACTTACTTTGTGCAAAAATTATTATTCGTGCATAATTCGAACTAAATAAATAAGATCGGGGTCGGAATCTTTCAAATTCCTGTTGCAAAGGTAAACAGTGTAGATCTAGCAGACGATTTCAGTAAGATATATTTTCATTTTTTAAAGCATTTTCCTCCAAACTTCATATTGTATACTACTGCTTGTTATAACTAGAAGTCTGTATTGACGATTGTTGGCCCTTCTCAATCTATTTTCCCTCAAAATTCGCCCTGATGTTGAAAATATGGAAGAACGTATGAATTAGACTTATTAGTGAATTTTGCAAACTAAAGTATTTTTTTTCCTAAAGTTATAGGGTAGTTGTAATTGAAGTAAATTAAAGTGAATTTGAAGTTCATTACGAACACCTTTTGAAAAATATTAAAGGGATAGGCCCTTCGGCTTAACTTGGACGTCAGGAATTCAAACCAGTCTAAGGCCTACTTAAATAAATAACATTTATGTATTTTAAAAAGTGTACTTAAATCTTTAAATGAAATTCAACTTGATAAAACTAATTAAACACCCCGGGGCTATAAAACAGATATTTCTATCTCAGTCCCACTTTTACACTAGGCCTTTATTTTTTTGTAAAAGTGAGACTGAGATCAAAAGTGAGCTCACCCCATTCATACGACATGATTTGCATACCTCAGTATATTTTATACATAAGTAAATTTACTCAGGTGTGCAATTTTTGTCGTATGAACTTATTTACTCATATGCAAATTCTGCACAGTTGAGTAAATATACACTTGGTCAGGACTAGGTGCAAATTAACTTTTGCGTACACTTTATAGCAAATTAGTAGTTCATGTGTGTAAATTTTGTCGTATGAACACGCAGCAAATTTACTTATGTATGTATTTTGTTTTGTTTCTTGATAAATCTAAGTGTTGCTTCGGTTATGTATGCATTGGCGCGTAAAAATGTCAGTTGGTAAACATGGTGGCTAGAAGGTAAAACTCTAAACAAGGAGCCATTATCTCCTCCGAGATAAATTTTCGAATTTGCAAAAAACGAGGGCATCTTGCAACCTTTCTGGCAAACCTATTTTCATTTCTCTAAAGATATAGCTGTGGTCGCAAACAAGTGCCCTGTAGGATCAACAAATAATGTCCTTACTATACAAGTTGTCTCCTTTGGAATGCTCCGGAACTATGATAGGAACATGCATTCAATCAATTGCTCGGGCCCCATTAGCTCTTGGTGACTTTCTTCTACCATTCTGTTTTTAATTCAGGTAAGCTATTCATATATAAGTTAGTGTTACAGGAATTTCAATAAACTCGTTGAAAGTAAGCATTCGTAATTATCCTCTTTGGCATCCGATTCCAGCATGAATGTCCAGGGGTTCGTGTTAATTTTCTATTCATATATTTGTATTGTTCAAAGATTTTTGAGATCGATCATGTTAGTTTTCTTCATCCCTTTCTTTCTCATTGAAAATAATTACATGACTGACGTTTTTTCATGCTAATTGTTTGTCAAATGTGTATACATGTATACTGAATTGACGACGGATTTTTCCGTTATTTCCCGATCATGACAATGAGTACACGGTGGGTGTGACCGGTCGGCAGGGGATGCTCACTCCTCCATGGCACCTGATCCCACCTCTGATATTTTGGAGGTCCGTGTTTGCTCTGCTCCTATTTTGCATTTTTTATAGACTTTGATATTGAATACTGTTCGTTGTCTCCATATCCTTCATGTGTCATATTCAAGCGAATATTTTATATGGTCTTACACACTTGATGTACTGTAGATTTCCCAACACCAAAAACATTCTAATCGTCCTATATTTGTATTTGTACTGAAAACGTCAATCAGTAGATGGCAAGAGTCACCTTTTTTCTTTACACTCTATGTCTCTTCTGCAGTCTTTAGGACAGAGGCCAACACATTTTCCAACATTAAAACAAAAAAAAATTAGTAATAAATTTTCCTTCATGTGTAGATTCTTAAACCATTCTTTGTCCTTAAAATCGTAAAGTTCCTTTTCTTTTGTTCCATGAACTTAGTGTATCGGACTTCGACCCTTGTCTTTAAGGAACATTCAAAAGTTAGTCTTTTAGCCAAACAGTAAGGAAATACACTTTTTCTATAAAAAAAATTTACAATTCTGAATCTGTCCATTTCCTTATTTGATATGAAAATATGAGGATTTACTAACAGCACATAAATCTCTTCTGAACGCTTATCAAATTAACTTTTACTTACGTGTGTAGATTTACATGTACTTATATGTAAATTTGCACACATAAGCAAATTTTCGTCGTATGAATGGGGTGTTAGGGCCCCCGAGTCAAGACCAAATTTGTAACGTCAGCTACGTCAAACGGAATCTCAGACGACTGCTTTTTTCCGGAGCGTTTATTTCATATAAGATTTTGGGACGATTGAGAGGGAAATCTTTGACTTTGTGAAGTATAGATGTTAGACCAAGTTTTACTAGATAAAGCGCAAATGAAATAAAATTTAAATCCAAATTAATCTTTGCTTTTCTCAATTTCTGTTTTACCAATTAAGGCCTACAGTATTTCAATTTGGCCGTTATGCAAATTAGCACAATAGACCCCTTATTGACCCTTTTGGTACAGAGTCCTGTTTAATATTGACCCTTCTGGTGCAGAGTCCAGTACCCTTTCAATTGAAATTTGCAAAATTTAGACTGAAGTATTGATGTCTGACAATTGTTTTAATGCGGAAAAAGTAAATTTTGAAGGATTGTTCCCTATTCACATGCATTTTTATGATACAAAATCACTGGATTATTCTGTCTTTATATCATTGGGAGTTTTTACTTAAATTTACGAAAAGAAGAGTAAACTGATATAATATTTTGGGACAGGATCCTTTTACTGGACCTGGATATAAGGGTTATTAACTTCTGACCCAATTTTTTTAATTGAAATCATAGACTTAAAGATTATGATCTGCTTTAGTCCTATGTTGAAACAAAGATATGGAAATTTTGATGAATAAATTAGTCTTTTACAAAATATTATTCACAGAATGGAATTACTGTACTATATTAAGCGTCCTAATTCAAATCATTACCGCTCACCAAGCTGAGTTACACCTTGCGCTGTTTTCGTCACGTGATCCGATCCATTTGAACATCACAGGCGTCAGGATTTGAACACATGACTAACTCACTTCGGTTTTAAAACTGTTATTTTCTTCAAGAAAAGATTTGCTCGTCGAAAAACTGTCCTCAATACCACATTTACATATTGAACACTTCTTAAGAATTCTCAAGAGAGGAAGGAAATCCCCCCTTTGTAAACTAGTGACTTGATATCGTGCTTCTCGGTACAAATATAGTTTCCTTAAATAACGCAGATGTATTTAAAAAACAACTTTTTTTTCTTTTTTGATAATTTACAGTAAGGGTTTGAACAACTACTAGAGGTATTAGAACCATACAGGTAAGTATGTGAAAAAACATATTTTGTTTGTTGGAGAATTTTTGCTTAATTTTCACAATTTAAAAATTTCTTAAGAAAAAATATGATCGTATGTGTGAATATATTTTTCTAAAATATTTTTAAACAATTAACATTATTATTGTAATCCTTTTAGAATTTTAAAGGTGAGAGAGATATAAAAAATTCTATTAATATGTCATGCGATACCCATATCATGCATACATTGTTACAGTTGATATGATTTTTTTTGCGCTGTAAAATTTGTAGATAAACACAAAGAAGGAAGTTGGTTGGAAAGAAAGTGTTTTGTCAATGTTGTAGATTAAAGGTAAGCCATTTTCATCTATATTTTTCCACAGTGTGTGATATACTCTTTAGATCATTTAACAATGTCACGTATAAACAGGAAGCAAGAGAAATATTTTTGGCAATGTCTATCTTATAATTTCTTCTGTGAACTTCCGTCATAATGCTTGAAAATAGAGCAAAGAAATAATTTAAAGGACGTAAGTATCTGTTTTTTTTTTTTACATGTTAAGACCCTTAATGGAGGTGACTAAACCAAAGGGCATAAAACAATTTCAAAACGTACGTATTCGTCTTTTTTTTGTTCTATAAGTTCTATTCTTCATAATTCGGTTTAATTAAATCAACAATTGATTTCAGATAAAGACAATGATTTAAAGAATTTGGAAAACCTTGATGACAGTGAAATTGTACAGTTTATGAGCAACACTTTGAGACAAATAAGAAAAAAGAGTAATAATGGCAGAAAACTCCAGAGTGAATGACTTAAATCGACAAGTGGACGATGTCAAGGTTGTGATGAAGGACAATATAGGGAAGGTTTTAGAGAGAGGAGACAAGATAGAGGTCTTACAAGACAGAGCAGAAGGCTTAGAACAAACTGTGAGGTTCTTTATACTTAAGGATGTTGTTTTCAATTTTTAAGTCACATGAGTAAACTCAGGTGACCTATTGCTATCTGTTTTTGTTAGTTGTCGTGTGTTGTGCGTTAACATTTGAAATTTTCAGCTTCTTCTCCGCAACCGTTCCACCAATTTCATCCAATTTTGGCATAAAACATCAATGGGTGAAGGGGAACAAAATATTTGAATTTCATGGTTCCCCCCCCCCCCCGGGGGGGAGGGCTGGAGGATGGGACAAAACCACTGAACTTAATGCAAACTTTAAAAATCTTTTTATTTACTCCTGGACACAAAGAAGTCAAACTGTTAGGATGATTGTAATCAGCATTGAGTCCTCTTCCAACATTCTGAAATTCATGGCCCAAGAGTCAGGGGTTCTAGTGCTGGGGCAGGGCTAACTAGATTATATAGTGAAAATGCATTATTTATTTGAAAATCTTCTTCTCTGCTAATATGCATTAAATGAACTAACAAAGTACATAGCTATGTTGAATAAAGCTGCCTCTTCCAAAATTGTGAATTTCATGGCCCCAGGGTCAGGGGTTCTAGTTCTAGGGCAGGGCTAAATATATTATATAGTGAAAATGCATTATTTATTTGAAAATCTTCTTCTCTGCTCCTGGGCATTAAATTAACTAACCAAGTATATAGTTATGTTGAATCAGACTGCCTCTTCCAAAATTATGAATTTCCTGGCCCCAGGGCCAGGGGTTCTGGTGCTAGGGTGGGGCTATATAGATTATATCGTAAAAATGCACGAATTGTTTGAAAATCTTCTCTGCTCCTGGGTATTAAACAAACAAACTACATACATTGCTATGATGAGGAAGGGTGCCTGTTCTAAATTTGTGAATTTCATGGCCCCAGGGTCAGGAGTTCTTGTGTTAGGGCGGGGATATATAGATTATACTTTGAAAATGCATGAATTCCTTGAGAATCTTTTTCTTTGCTCTTGGTATTATGCCAATGATCTAGGTGCATAATAAATATGAAGATAGATGCCTCTTCCAAAATGGTTAATTTCAGGGCCCCTGGGTCAGAGGTATGGGTTATTGGGTGTTAGTTGGTTACATAGCCTGAAATAAATTAAATTCTTTAAAATCTGCTCTTTGGTATTAATCAACCATTTATGACAAAATAAAAGTTTTGATAAAATTTCCAAAATTTTGAAATATGTGGCACAGGGTCCATGGTTCCTGTGGGATGGGGTGCGCAAATTGTTATAAGGACAACTGGGTATTAAGTAACCAGAGTAAGCATGCTAAGTGTATAATTATGATAAGCAATGATGCATCTTTCAAAATTGTGAATTTCATGGCCTCTGGTTTTAAACATGAACCAAATTCAATTGTTGGAAAGTTGTAACTTGATGCTCAGGTGCCCTATAAGGCCCGTGGGCCTCTTGTTGATTATTAAAAGGTGTAGAACGTTCGACTCGCGGTCATTTTCGACTTGCGATCAGTTTACCCGATATCGAACAGTTCATTTGCTGAGGCTCCTAATAACTTATTTCTTAAAATTTGACCACCCTAAACCATGAAATACACTTTTTAGTCACCCAGGTGACCTAATGCTATCCGTTTTCGTTCGTCGTCGTCGTTCGTATGTTAACATTTGAACATTTTCAGCCTCTTCTCTGCAACCACTCAACGAATTTCAACCAATTTAAGCATAAAAAATCTGTGGGGAAAGGGAAAAAGTTGTAATTTTCATGGTCCCTGCGGCCTGAGGGATGGGGCCAAAACCATTAAAAATAAAAGCAATCTTTAAAAATCTTCTTTACTCCCGGACATCAAACAGTCAAACTGTTGGCATGAATGTAATAAGCATTGAGTCCTGAAAATGCATGAATTCTTTGAAAATCTTCTCTGCTCCTGTTTATTAAACAAACTACATACATAGCTATGGTGAGGAAGTGTACCTTTTTTACTTTTGTGAATTTCATGGCCCCAGGGTCAGGGGTTCTAGTTCTAGGGCAGGGCTAAATAGATTATATTGTGAAAATGCATGAATTCTTTGAAAATCTTCTTCTCTGCTCCTGGGTATCAAACAAACTAATTACATGCATAGTTATGACGAGGAAGGGTGCTCCTCGAAATTTGTGAGTTTCATTGCCCCAGGGTCAGGACTTCTAGCTATAGGGTGGAGCTCTATTGATAATATAGTAAAAATACATGAATGCTTTGAAAATCTTCTCTGCTCCTGGATATTAAACAAAGAAACTACATACATAGTTATGATGAGGAAGGGTGCTTCTTCTAAATTTGTGAATTTCATGGCCCCAGGGTCAGGAGATATGTTGTTAGGGCGGGGCAATGTAGATTACATACCGGGGGTATACTCTATTGAAAATGCATGAATTCTTTGAAAATCTTCTCTCTGTTCCTGGGCATTAAACAAACTAACTAAATACATAGTTAAGATGAGCAAGGGCCATTCTTCCAAAATTGTGAATTTCAAGGCCCCTGGATCAGGGGTTCCATAGTGGGCAAATGGAGGGGGGAGGCGGGGGGGGGGGGGGGACTGTAATTACATATATATACTGAAAATGAATTAATGCTTTGAAATACGCCTCGATATAAATCAAACATTTATGATGAACAAGGATGCCTTTCCTAAATTGTGAAATGTGTGGAACTAAGGTCAGGGATTCCTGTTGGTGGGCACTACTGATAATTGATGAATATTACTGATTAGTTGATTACTGATTATTTTTTTGTTCCCGTTCTCTGCCTATGGGTATTAAGGTAGGATTCTTCTCTGGCTTCTGACTAGATGAAATATTCAAAGTATATTTGCTTATATGTTTTATATATTTAGGTGCAAGAGATTTAAAAGACCATATTTTTCTTTTCTCGTCACAATTGTATAACTTTAAATAGAAATGGTAAACTGCGTTTGAAACTAGCAGGGACTATATTTTTGGCGGAATGGTGGCCTCTCAAAATTATTATAGAACACTGAATTTAGTTATAATTTTTACGCAATAAAAGACCAGACGAAAATTTCAAAAGTAAGTTAAATTAATAATGAGGGATTAAAGTTTCAAAATATATCAAATAAATAAGATTTTTCACACATACTAGAACTATGTTGGCTTTTAAATGCTTAAAATCTAAGTACAGATTTGAGTCAAAAATCCATAAAAAGTGTTATTTCTCTCTTAGTAAACGATCAAAAGTTTTAGTTTTTGTATCATTTTGTACCTTTATGTGTCAACTTTACTATATGTGAAAATGAGAAAAAGTTAAATATAGGAAGCATATAAAAATAACTAATATATCCTAAAAATTTAAGAAAAGTAGAGAAAATTTGGATTAGCAAATATCCATTTTATTTAAATTATCTATGTCAATTGGGTAATATCATCTTATAGGCCCTATATGGTAGTATCTTTTTAAGCAAAAAGAAAAACATTCAATCTTTTGAAGTACAAGAAGGGAGCGCATGATAGGAAACAGTAATTTTTTTATTTTTAATGTCCAGGAAAATGACCAAGGTAATGACCTTGACCTGACCTTGCCTCTAATATTAAAAGGTCAAATTTAATCTCACTGATACCATCACTTAGATACCATCACTTAGTGATTTCATTTTAAATACATCTTGAAACGAAAATTGTGAATTTCATGGTCCCCGCCCCCCGGGGCCTGAGGGGTGGGGCCAAAACCACTTTAATGAAATCTTTAAAAATCTGTGAAAATTTCATCAATTTTTAAATACAAGAAATTTGAGAAGAATCCTACCTTAAGTAACCAACTAAACATGCTGAGTGTATAGTTATGATGAGCACTGGTGCCTCTTTCAAAATTGTGAATTTCTTGGCCTCTGGTTTGAAACAAAAACCAAATTCAATTGTTGGAAAGTTGTTGCATGATGCTCAAGTGACCAATAAGGTCCATGGGCCTCTTGTTAAAAAATATATATATATATATATATATATATATATATATATATATATATATATATATATATATATATATATATATAATATATGATTTTTTGAATGTGCTTTTAATTATAAAGGTATTAGTCTATTTGATAATATCAAATAATTTTTCTTCATAATGAATCAAACATATTTTTTCGATGCGGAAGATCGTGCTCTACGTATGTACAATTTCTAAAAACGAGGTAAATTATTGACAAATAAATTGATGATAAAATAAGGATATCAGCAGTCTCGTTTAATTTCCTCAATTTGTAAGTTCTATGGCCGATACAATGACCTTGTCAGCACATACAATATACCATTGAGTCAATTCTAACTGATGTTTTACATACTAATTGTTAGTTCATTGTTTCACACTGAATTGACTACAGATTTTCCCGTTATTTCCCGATCCTGACAGGGAGCACACGGCCGGTGTGACCGGTCGGCAGGGAATGCTCATTCCTCCATGTCACCTGATCCCACCTCTATTGTTTTGGAGGTCCTTGTTTGCCCTGCTCCTGTTTTGTATTGTTTTATGGACTTTTGAGCTTGAACACTGTTTGTTATCTCCATATATTTCATGTATAAAATGCAAAATAATTATTAACCCAAATCTAAAACTTAGATGACAATAGGCCTCTCCTTATATATTTTTATTTAAAAAAGAATAAAATTGATGATACACTTTAAAAAAAGATATTTTAATTGAAGTGTTGATAACTTAAATGTGCTTTAAATATTGTTTTAAAGTTGTACAATTTTTTCACAGGCACAAAACTTTCAGAGGACAACTAATAGAATAAAGAGGAGCGAAATATGGCGGAACCGGAAGATGACAATAATTATAGCTGGTGTCACAGCAGTGTTTGTCCTTTTCATAGTTCTAGTTGCCCTAGGAGCAAGTGGAGTGTTTTCTGGTGAAAATTGAGAATGTACAGATTTATACAATTGACTTGATACACCAGGATCCTGTTTATTTTACTTGAATTGTGAGAGGCTTCAAGGGAAATTTTAAAACTAGACAATTTTAAGTACTCGCATCCGATTTCTGTAATATTCAGAGAATTACGTAACACGTATAATGTCAACAAACAACACAAGTGAGAAATAAAACTTGATTTGTTTTAACTGTCACAGGTTTTGTTAGTTCTTAAGCAACAGTTATTAGAGTGTTGATTATTGATTTCATCTTTAGATGCGACCAGAAAAAATTGGTAAACGACTGTGAAAACTTCAATTTTGACGTTTGAAAGAAAAATTATTAGAAAGACTCTTTGAACTTGCATTGAAATATAGTTTGTAATTAAGTAAGTTTTTAACACGAACATATTACATAGATATGACAGATTAAGCAACTCATGGTGAGTAATAAATGTAATTTTACTATAAACCCTAATTCATGTTGTATCCATTCTATTAATGTTTGTTTCAATTTATTTTATAATAATATATTAGAAATTTTAAATAAAAATGAATTTTATGGAAAAATGCTGTTAGTATTGAGTTTTTGTCACAATGTACTGTTCTCAGATAAATTATATTAATCCACTGTTTATACACTCACATTTATATGAATTACAAGTTATTTATAACAGGAGCTAAATGGAGCAAATAGGAAAATAGGAAGGATATACATGCATGAATATAATCATAGGGGGTCAACAGTATAAATGTTCAAAGACCTGTTGTAGATTTTGTTCAAATGGAAAGCCATGATTGTA